AAAAAAAAAAATACTGACTGATCATTATTGGGCATTGGCAAAGTATTCCAATAAGCACTTTAGCTCGAAAATTTTGAAGTAGACATCGCCATACACATATTATATTGGCAAAGTATTCCATTAAGCACTTAGGTCGAAAATTTTGAAGTAGACATCGCCACACACATATTATATCTATAACGCGTAAAACTGCTCGATTTTATTTTTTATTTTATTAGATATGTGTCAATGGTCAATTTTGGATAGTGAACTGCATGGTCATATTAGTATAAGGACACCAAAATTGAATATTTGGTATATATATATTCATGAAATCTTACGATCTCGTTACGGTATCATTCCTTATATATCCACTATCAACATATTAAAACTACTATTTCTTCTTCGTCGTGAAAGAAAAATTATACTACAATAAACAGGTCCCTATCGAATGATTTTTAATATAAACAATAATTTATAACAATTGCGAAAGAGGGTAGTTAGGAAAACAAAAATTTAATTAAATGGTTGTTAATTAAATTTCAAAATTTTGATTTTCAGGGGAGAAAAAAAAAAAGGAAAGCACTGAGTCAAAATTCTATCCATATGAGTATTATGTACATCTCTATGTACATTTATTATGTATTTGTAGAATATTCCTAAATTTAATGTGACAATTGATAACGTCAGTAGTTCTCTTTTTGTTTATTCACATTTGTAAACTTGACCTATTATTTGGTTAGCCTATAAATTTCTTGTATTTATAATAAGTTTTCTTGTGTAGGACAAACTTTTTTAAAAATCTCGACCTTATTTCATAAGATTCTTTTGGTAGCTTTTCAAATAAGCTCGTTGAAATTTTTATTTCAGCTAGTATAACAACTAACTTTACCGAACACTTATCATATAAGCTAGTTTTCAACTATAAGTCATAAACTATAAGCTCGAAAATTACTATAAACTATAAGTTAGTTTATCAGCTATCAACTAACTTATCCGCTAGTTTTATCAAACACAATTTGGTATGTAATATGCATAAAATTATGAGTTATTTATTTATTTATTTCTAGAGGCTGATTAGTCTCGTAAATCGTAAA